GTTGATTCAATACCATAGCCTCTATTGGTGTGCGTATAAAAGTTTCGATTCTTTGTAACTGTTAATGCCTATTGGTAAACGGTAGAAACCTTTTCGATTATTTTGTTAACGGTAAGTTGGCTTAAATTTTTGGAATAAAGAACTCTTTAGTGTTAAAAAAAAAAAACTTTGAGAAGTAACTATATATCTACAAAAATCAAAATTTCTCCCCAACGAAACTCCTAAGACAAGAAAAACTAAAATGTGATTTTTGTGTATTTATGTGAAGAGGATTAAAGATATCATATCTTAGATATGTATTTTCTTCTGTAGTGATTTTTGTGCTTGTATTATATCTCTGCTTTGCTATCACCATGTCTTGCTAGATAGTTCTAGCAAACTATCTCCGACAAGAAAAAATTGTAGAAAACTTCTACTAAATGACTTGCATTCTAAAATTAGTAAGTATGGAATTTAAGCCACCCATATATACAAAATTTAGGACTACATTGTATAAATTTTATCTTAATTCTTAACATATTAGTTTAGCAACAAAAAAAAAGACCTCTTAACATATTAGCTTGTTATAATCTTGTGTTCTCAACAAAACATTATAATTTAGTGGAAAGAGGTTATCTTCAAACGAAACCGGCAAATTTACATGACAGAAAAAAATCTTCATGTTTTTGTCCCTGTTAGAAGTCAACCCGCAAAAAAATAATAAAATGAGGGTCATAATGAATCGGGAAAATGGGAAAAAAAGACTTCAGAAAAGATCTGGCCTTGACTTCAAACAAGTCAAGCTTGGATTTGTGATACTCTACAAACAATACATCAAATCGACCCTAAATTTTGGTAAATTTTTTTTTCGAATCTAGTGGCAAAGTAGTTCTCATGTATGCTAGAGGTAAGGAGTTTGATTTTGAGATATTAGCATGTATATTAGTGTATCAACAAAGAATTAGGCATTTAACACCCTTAAAACTATAATTCACTAACTAACAATAAATTCTGAAAATACCCTTTTAAAATTATCTAGCCTCAAACTCTTTACCTTACTCTAAAAAACCTAACAATAAAATCACCGTAGCTGTCTTCAACTCATTCTGTTCTCCGATCACGTACCTCACTGTCGACAGTAATCATCTCACGGCCACGGCCACTGCCACCGCTGAGTTCTCCTTTTCACACCTCGTATCTTATCTCAGCCACCACCGCAAACGGCAAATATCATTTCATCTCTCTGTCACCTCCTTCATCTCTAATTCATCAAGTGAAGCACTTTCTTTCTCCGATTTAACACTTTCTTCTTCGATTCTGTATTTTTATATCAATCCTCTTCTAATCACTTTTCGAAATCACATCCTCTAATTTTGATCAATTTCTTCCTTTCTCAGACTCAGAAGATGAAAAATCTCAATCTTCTTAAGCGTTTGTTTCACTATTGTTGTGAAGGACATAGTCAACTATTTGTTTGTTCTGTTAGCTGATTATATTGTATATAAATATATCCGACTATTCGTACATACATAATGGACTTTTTATATCAACTATGTAATTTTAACATAGTTAACTATTTTTAATCCATATAAGTAAGCAGCTATCTAACTATTTTGTACTGATTTATGTAGATTTTATACAGTATACTTTTCATATACTTCTAAAATAGTTAACTAAAATAGTTAACTAAAAAAATACCATACAAGTAAGCAGATATATAATCTAACTATTTGTACTGATTTATGTAGATTTTATATAGTATACTTTCTAACTATTTTGTACTGATTTATGTAGATTTTATATAGTATACTATTCATATAGTGAACTATATTAGTATTTGAATAGCTATCTAACTAATGTTTGCGTAGTGAACTATTTTGATCACCGTTGATGAGATAATAGCTAACTATTCGTATTTTGATCACTATAGATGAGATAATAGCTAACTATATTGATTAACAATATTGATAACTATAGACTAAAAGATATTCAACTAAATTGGTTATTGTAATACATATATAGTGAACTATATTATTATTTGAATAGCTATATAGTGGACTATATTATTATTTGAAAAAAATAGTTCATTATTATGGGTGTAATTTTAGCTAACTACAACAACATAAAAAATTCCGATATAGTTAACTATACATATTGAATCTTGTTTTCCAGATATGCCGCCAGCCTAATCTAAATATTTTTTTATGTTGAAAATGTTTACGATGTTAGAGATATTTTTAGGAATTTTAATAGTGTTGGCTGATTTTTAGCTTGTAGTAACAATTTTTTAGAGATTTTTACCAACGCTTATTAAATAACTCATTAAGGGTATTTTGTCAAAATGTAACAATATAATGCTACTGACCTAAATAGTTTTCAAGACATGCTACACACCTAATTTCAGCCCCCAATACTAATATATACCTAATTAACCCTTTGATTTTCCTCAGCATCACTATCTTTTATTTTTATTTTTTTAATTACTAATAAGTCAGCCTAAAAAAATTGTTGGACTTGTCGCCCTATTACTCTCAAGACCATTTCTACTTCAGAGTCCTATAGACAACAAACGCTGATGCA